AAAATAAATATATTTAGAAAAGAGAAGACTAAAGGGTAAAAAATGATCTCATGAAGCATTTGTTGGTGGAAAGCTGGAAGGCAAACAAGATTTAAATCAGTGAGAGGCATTTGACCTACCACCCCTGGCGTCGGGGGGCCATGAGCTAGGGAGCGCGGATGGCCGGAGGAAGCTTAGTCCAAGGCCTGGCCTATAGCCCGCAAGAAAACAGGGACTTTTGTCCTGCAACTGCTTGGACCTGAACTCTGCCAACAACCAAAATGGGCCAGAAATGAAGGTAGCTCTGCCAACACTTTGATTTTGACCTTGTGAGACTCTAAGCAAAGAACCAGCTGAATCACAGCTGTGTCTGAACTTCTGACCTACAAAACAGTGAGATAATAAATGGATGTAATTCTAAGCTCCTAATTTGTATGACAGTAATAGAAGGCTAAATATGTTTATAGCCTAAATTGTTATTGAAACTTGCAGACAAAAATTTTTCATTTAGTTCTTTGCAATAGATTATCGGTTCAGTTTGGTTGGTGAACCCAGAGACTATCTTGCCTCGAACCTAGTGATATTTTGGAGCTTACATCATGGCAGCTTAAAAGAGTAGTTTAGTTTCCCGTCAATACTGAAATGTTAGTTTTTATCAAGGAAATCTTCATCTGTAGTCACCACTTCAGTCATGACTATCAGACTGTGATTTAGAAGAGAAGCTTATTCTGAGACTATAGACTAAAGAGAATTGTTGCCTGACTGGTATGGCTCGATGGTTTGGGCATCATCCTGCAAATCAAAATATTGTCTCTTCAAGTCCTGTTCAGTCAGGGCACATGCCTGAGTTGCAGGCCAAGGTGCCCAGTTGGGGCCATGCAAGAGGCAACCTATTGATGTTTCTCTTGCAAGTCAATATTTCCTTCCCTCTCTCTTTTTCTCCCTTCCCTCCTCTCTAAATAAATAAATAAATAAAATCCTTTAAAAAATTTAAAGACGCTGGCATAAGAACAGACTCATACATCAATGGAACACAATAGAGAGTTGAGAAATAATCCCATGTCTCTATGGTCAATTAATTATCAACAAAGGGGGCAGAAGCATAAAATAGCCTCTTTGTAAAATAGTGCTGGGAGATCTGGACAGGTACATGCCAAAAAATGAAACTTGACCACCAACTTATACCACACACAAAAATAAACTCAAGATAATTCATGATCATGACATCATAGAAGTCCTAGAGGGGAATATAGGCAGGAAAATTTCAGATATTCCATGTAGCAATATTTTCACTGATATGTCCTCTAGAACAAGGGACATAATGGAAAGAATAAACTAATAGGACTATATCGAATTAAAAAGCTTCTGCATGGCTAAAGAAAACATCAGCAAAATGAAAAGGGAATGAACCATATGGGAATATATATTTGCCAATGATACCTCGGACAAAGGTTTGATCTTCAAAATATGTAAGGAACTCACATGACTCCACACCAGGAAGACAGACGATCCGATTAAAAAGCAGGCAAAGGACCTGAACAGACACTTCTCCAAGGAGGACATTCACAGGGCATGGAGACATTTGAAAGGACGCTCAGCATCACTAGCCATCAGAGAAATGCAAATTAAAACCACTTCACACCAATCAGAATCATTAACAAATCAACAAACATCAAGTGCTGGTGAGGTGTGGAGAAAAGGGAACCCTAGTACACTGTTGCGGGGGATGCAGACTGGTGCAGCCACTGTGGAGAACAGTTTGGAATTTCCTCAAAAAACTAAAAATGGAACTGCCTTTTGACCCGACAATTCCACTGCTGAGATTATACCCTAAGAATCCTGAATCACCAATTCTAAAGAACCTATGCGCCCCAATGTTCATAGCAGCGCACTTTACAATAGCTAAGTGCTGGAAGCAACCTAAGTGCCCAACAGTAAATGAGAGGATCAAAAAACTGTTGTATATTTACACAATGGAATACTACGCAGCAAAAAGAAAGAAGGAGCTCCTACCCTTTGCAATAGCATGGGTGGAGCTGGAGAGCATTATGCTAAGTGAAGTAAGCCAGGTGGTGAAAGACAAATACCATATGATCTCACCTATAAGTGGAACCTCATCAGCAAAACAAACAAGCGAACAAAATAGAACCATAGACATGGAAATAAAAACAAACTGACAGTGATATTTCATTGTTGGTGTACAAAAATGCCTTTGATTTCTGAATATTGACTTTGTATCCCACTGTTTTGCCAAATTCACTTCTTAGGTCGAGTAGTTTTTTGGTGGAGTCTATAGGGTTTTCTATGTATACTACTATGCCATCTGCAAGCAATGACAGTTTTACTTCCTCCTTTCCAATCTCCTTTTACTTCTTTTTCCTGTCTGCTTACTGTGGCTAGGACTTCCAATACTATGTTGAATAGAAATAGTAAAAACGGACATCCTTGTCTTGTTCCCAGTCTCAGTGGGAAAGCTTTTAGTTTGTACCCATTAAATATGATGTTGGCTGTAGGTTTTTCATATAGGGTCTTCATTATGTTGAGGTATGCCCTCTCTACTCCCACTTTGCTGAGTGTTTTTATCACAAATGGGTTTTGTACCTTATCAAATGCTTTTTCTGCCTCTATTGATATGATCATGTGATTTATGTCTTTCCTTTAGTTTATGTGATGTATTATGTTTGTTGACTTGTGAATATCGTACCATTCTTGCATCCCTGGGATGCATCCCACTTGATCATGGTGGATGATCTTTTTAATGTGTGGCTGGATGTGGTTTGCCAATGTTTTGTTGAGGATTTTAGCATCTATGTTCATCAGCAGTATTGGACTGTAGTTTTCTTTCTTTGTTCTGTCCTTATCTGGTTTTGGGATTAGGATGATGCTGGAGTCATAAAAAGAGTTTGGAAGCCTCCCCTCTTCTTAGATTTTTTGGAATAGCCTGAGAAGGACAGGGGTTATCTTTAAATGTTTTGTAAAGTTCTGCTGTGAAACCATCTGGTCCAGGGCTTTGGTGTGCTGGGAGTTTTTTGATGACTGATTCAATTTCACCAGCTGTTATCGGTCTGTTCAGGCTTTCTGCTTCTTCTTCATTCAGTTTTGGAAAATTATATTTTTCTAGAAATTTGTCCATTTCACCCAGATTTTCAAATTTCTTGGCATGTAGTTGTTCATAGTAATTTCTTCTAATCCTTTGTATTTCTGTGATATCAGTTGTTATTTCCCCTCTCTCATTTCTGATTTTATTTATTTGGTTTCTCTCCTTTTTTTTCCTAAATGAGTCTGCTTAAAGGCTTGTCAATTTTGTTTATCTTTTCAAAGAAACAGCTCCTGGATTTATTGATCCTTTGAATTGTTCTTTTAGTCTCTATGTCTTTCAGTTTTGCTCTGATCTTGATTATTTCCTTCTTTCTACTCATCCTGGGCTTTGTTGTTGTTTCTTCAGTTCTTGTAGATTTTTAAATCAGTGACTTGCATAAACACAGGAAGCAAGCTTGAGTACCAGAACTTGAAGTAGGATACGTACTGGATGATAGAATTTGGATTTTAAAGATCTTGCTACTTAAAATTTTCTGTCACTTGATTCTGACATTCCCCCCAACCCCAGTGGGCATATATTCTACAATTCAGTGAGAGAAAGGAAGAAAGGAAAGAAGGAAGGAAGCAGAGAAAAACAAGGAAAAAGAAAAAAGAAAAAATACCACACACACACAGAACTCTCTCTCTGTCTCTCTTTCTCTCTCTCTCTCTCTCTCTCTCTCTCTCATAAAGCATCATCTTGGTGACCCAGAAAAATGGCTCCATGGTTTTAAACACCAATTTAATAGCATGAATATCATCTTAGGCATATGTTTCTTGATAATAGTTTATAGTAAAAAACATTTGGTTAATATAGTGTTGTCCCCCCAAATGAAGAGATAGCCTCATTATAAGGTCACTGTAAGAAAACAGATGGAATGAACCCTGATATCCAGATGGAGGGAAGTAGCAGGCGTACCTCACTCTCCATGGATCATGTAGTATAGATCACACCTGCTTTGGCATATAGTCTTTCTTTAGTGACCAGGAAGTTATAAAAATGTACTAGTTCAATTAATTTTCCTAAGAGCCTTATAAGTAGTTTTTTCTTCATTCCCATTTTACAGTTGAGGAATCGATGTAAAGTTTGCTTAGCTGGTTATGTGGCAAAACTGAAATTCAAACCTGAATCGAATGACAAATATGATCTAAATAGAACTACAGTTTCATTCTGCTTGCCAGCCATGCCATAGAAGAATGTTGAGGAAACATGGGTGTTTTGTGTGAAAAAGTGAAGGACTTAGAAAGGAGTTACAGTATGTGTTTTCACATGAAGATCTGCAATGGAGAGAGAAGACAGATACAACCTGTTGTGCCATACCCCCACGTTAAAACCTCTCCTTGGCTTTCAGTAATGTAGAAATAGGTTCTCAATTCCTTAGCGAAGCTTAAAGACAACTGAACAATCTGCTACCTGCCTCCTCTTCATTTCCCCATTCACTGCCCTACTCTAGCCAATAGACTACTTTCCGCCCTTCAGACACAGCCCTGTTTCTAAGTTGCCTCTGCCTAATATACTGCTTTCCATTCTATGTCTGGCCAGCTCCTACTCATCACCTGTGTCTCAAACACCTCTTCATTAATCCCTAGGCATGAGAAGGAAGATGGCAAAGGGTTCATTTGAATGGTGGAACATTTTGAGAAAAGATGGACTTGGGTGGTGTTTCACTGCGGACCTCTGGACAGCCAGAGGGCACCGTGATGACAAGTTTGCCTGAAGAAAGGAAGTATCTGGCTATATTTTGCTATTCTGCAGAGGTGTCTGACAGGAGCTGTACTCTCCTGCTGGTGAAGTCATCTCGAATACTATGCAAATACCCAATTATCATCAATACACCTGGTCTTTGGTGCTTGTGGAATTTGTTTACAGGAAAAATCTGTTAACGATTTCTATGTTACAACTTTCTGACTTTCTCTGTCTCAGTTTTGTGCTTACAGAGGAAATGAAGGAGCCAGATGATCAGGATACTGATGAGGGGAAATCAGGTAGGTCACAGAGCAATGGAAGGCAGTCTCCAGGGTCCTCTCAAACTGCATCAAGATGCAAGCAAAGGCTATAATATACACTTGGTTTTTGATCATTAAAGTTAGCTAAAATAATTTTTAAAGAGTATATATCTAAGTTTATACAAGATAAATGGTTTACTTGTTTAACTCCCTTACTAAACTCTAAGTTCTTGAAGAGCAGTCTTTATTTTAATTATTTAACCCCACCTCCCGGCACATATACAACTCTGTGTTGATAATGACCTGTCTGCACATCAGGTCGTGTTCTCCTGTGAGGTCTTACGGGGCCTTTAATGGACTTTTCTAAAACAGTGTGGCAGGCAGAGAGCTGCACTTTGGGTTTGAGTCCTGGGTCTACCACCCAGAGGTGCTTGATCTTGGGTAAATCTTAGAGCCTCAATTTTCTCACCCATTAAAATTATAATTGTGAGCTGTTTCAGGATTAAATTGGGTAACATATATAGAAACGTATTACAGGCTGCAAATAGATGGGAAGTAGGAATTTTATAATAGGATTTTTAAAAGATGGCTAGCTCTTTCTGACTGGGTGCCATGATGTTAGATATCTAAGCAGAATCTTGACCTTTTTAATTGTAATTCTAAATATAGTTTCAGAAATTAATTTTGACTGCTCACCTAGAGGAGATCTGTTCCTGGGGAAATGAATTCATTTACAAAATGTACATTAAATTATTTCAATCTGAGATATGTCTCATAAATTCATGATTTCTCCATACCATGTTTTATGTTAGTTGTTTAACTCCTCTTGCTTGGACTCTTAAAACAAGGAATTCCATTCAAGCCCCCCTGTTCAAGTCTCCCTCCGTACCATCACTAGAGTTATCTTTCTAAAAAATAAGATTTTATCACTCTTCTTCAAATTTTAGTTTGCTTCTCTCTTGTTTAGTCTCTACTTTTCCCCACTCTCCACATTTCTGACACAGGCTTATCTGCTCTTTAGTTTCCAGCCCTTGGTAGCATTTCTCCAGATGGCTGGACTGAATGATAGTGACCCTTTGTCGAGCGCTGCCTCAGCATCTCCCTTTCCCCAGGTGGAGCCGTCTTGGAGGCTGGCCCGATCAAGTGTGGCCTGGCCCCGTGCTCAGTTTATAAAATAGTTCACACATCATGGGTTTGGGGGTCCCAAATGATAATGGGAAAGAATTCGCTGGTACCCTGGAACCCTCTGCCTTGGTGCTGCAAGAAGAGGCCTATGTCCTGATTCAGCCATTTACCTGATGGCTGTGCCCCCAAACCACCCTGAGACCTTGCCTTGTTCTCAGTCTTGCTGAAGTATTTGAGCAACTTCTTACCCTTTCGAATTTTCATACAGAGTGAATTTCCTGGTTTTCCACCTAAGCAGAGATTAAAGTGGAGTCTTCCCCAGACTCAACAATGGGTTTGTGTTATAACTGAGTCCTAATAAGAAATTTAAGCCAAATGTACCAGCCAAACTATCCAGCATTTCTTACAAGGTTGAAGGACTGTTAATTACTAAAACAGTGATTTCTGATTCTTATTAAAGGACTACATTTTTGCTGGCCTCATATAGTAAATTGGGAAGTATGTTGGTCTTTCTATTTTTATAAATGTTTTGTGTAGAATTCATATTATTATTTCTTCCTTAAATGTTGGGTAGACTTCACCAGTGAAGTATCTGGGCCTGTAATTTTCTTAGTGGGAAAATATTAAACTATGAATTTAATTTCTTTAATAAATAGAGGATTGCCTATTTCTTCAGTAACTTTTGTACGTTTATATTTTTATAGAATTTGTACATTTTTTTCTAAATAGTAAAATTTGTTGGCATAACTCTGTAGGATTTATTTTTATTTTTGATATTGGAGATTTGTATAGTCTCTCTTTTATTTCTTGATTGGTCTAGCTAGGAGTTTGTTTATTTTGTTGATCTTTTCAAAGAATAAGATTTTGGCTTTGATAATTTTCTTTTTTGTTTGTCCTTTTTATTTCATTGGTTCTTGCTCTTCATGTTTATTATTTCTATTGTTTCCTTCATTCTACAGTTTCTTGGAGATTTTTCCCTTTTCTTTTTCCAGTCTTCGAGTAGAACTTCAGGTCATTAATTCTTGACTTTTCTTCTTTTTCTTATATGCACTGAAAGCTATAAATTTCCCTCTTCACATTGTCTTAGCTCATCCCACAAATTTCGATATGTTATATTTTAATTATTATTTAGTTTGAAGTATTTTTAATTTTTTTGTTGACTTCTCCTTGACCCATAAATTATTTTAAGTATGCTATTTACTCTCCCAATGTTTGTTTTCCAGATAACTTATTGTAGTTTTTTTTTTTAAATATACTTCTGTTGTGATCAGAGAATACACACATTCTGTGTTATTTTAAACCTTCTAAATATATTGAAACTTATGTCCCAGCAAAGAATATACTTTAGTGAATGACCCATGTACACTTGAATGTGTACCTTATGTTGGCAGATGTAGTGTTTTTATAAATATCAGGTGAGGATGTTTTATAGAGTTGCTTAGATCATCTATTTCTTTATTGAGTTACTGACTAGTTCTCCTATTAACTGAAATGATACATGTACAGGGGTGGGTAAAAGTAGGTTTATAATTGTGAGTGTGTGAAACAGTTTGTTTTTGAATTATTATTTATTAATTATTGTATTATTTTCTGTATGAACAACTATAAACCTACTTTTGCCAACCTCTGTATTATAGTATCAACTAAGTAAACTGTGAAAAGTTGAGGATATATGTAATAATCCCTGAAGCAACTATATATTAATGAATGTTGGTAAAACTGAATTGAATTAATGATAGCACACTAGCCAATCTTTTTCTCTTAATTTTTTACTTTCTTGTAAATATGTTGTGATGGGAAATATATTAGAAATGAAGTGAAAATGGAGATTAACTCCTAGGAAAGGCTTTTTTAAAAAAAGTTACAATGATCAAATAATAGGACTTTTCTAGGAAGTTTTGAGCATTAAAATTCATTCACTTGAGAGTCCAAACAAATTGGAAGGATTGGTCACTTTGGAAATAAGAAAATGTTTAATTCAAAATTTAGAAATTATTAAAACAAATTATTTTTAATAGCCACTACAAAAGATGATGACAAAGTGTCAGAAGATACCACAGATGAAACATTAACTGAAGGGGAGAAATCACGTTTAGTGGACGATGACTCAGACATGGAATATTTGGAAGGGAGTTCCACTTCATTTCAAGATGATTACCAGGAAAGCACTGGAGGTTAGTATTACTAGTTTTCTATATCAGTCCTTGTTACTGTTTTAAAGATAAATTGACCAAGTTGAACAGTTGTAAATCCATAGAAAGAGAAATCTGCAGGATGTGTGAGGGTGGGGAAAGGAAAGCCTGGAACATAAACTTCATCATTGTTTCGTAGCTCTGGGGTTGTATTCTCCATTTCTGAGGCTCACAGAACTCTCATGCTCCATCTTCTGGAGAGTGAGGTGGACTAAGCAGTGCTCTACCCTAGATAAGTGAGAGTAACTCTCCCTTGGAACTGACTGGGAGTTGCTTTTGCGACTGCAGAAACCATGACCCCAGCTCGGCATTCACCCCAGCACACCGAGGGTTGTAGGTTCTTCCTCCCATGCTCTCTGGTAGGTGGCAGCCTCTGTTTGGGCTGGTAGTGGTACTTACTGCTAGAGTACTGCAGGCTAGGTACATCCCTTTGTGAAGTGTGATTTTAGGATTCACCAGATACCCTTCTTAGTTGAAATATTTTAATTTTTTAGAATCTCAGCATATGGAAACCCCTGGCTCAGCTGCAGAAGAGGCAGAGGAGGAAGTTAAGAAGAAAATACCAAACAGCTTCTTTTATGATTATATGGAGCTGGTTTCCATGCCTTTTGTGACTCCGGATTCGAACATACCACTGGATCTTCTCACACTGGTGTATCCACTTGTTACATATGCATAATTTTGGCATTTCAGCTTCTTAGGTCAGAGGCTGGCAAACTACAGCCCATAGACCAAATCTGGCCTCCTGCATATTTTCCTAAATAAAGTTTTATCAGAACACCACCACATTCATTCACTTACATTTTGTCTATGGCTGCTCTCACACTGTTAGGGCAGAATTAAATTTTGGGTTGGCCAAAACATTTGTATGGTTTTTTTCCTGTAAAGTAAAAGACACATTTTTCATTTTCACCATAACTTTATTGATTTGGATATTTTGAGTATGTTGGCTATTTCCCACATGGCATAACATCGATTGTACTCAATTAGTGACTCGATTTGATTGCTATCAATTTCCACTGATCTACCAGCTGTGGAGCATCATCCAACAAGAGATCTCCAGCACAGAAATTTGCAAACTACTTTTGACATATTCAGTTAGTCACAGCACCTTCTCCACACACTGAAACATCTTTTCTTTTTTTTGCATTTCAGTTGTGTTTTCACCTTTCTTGAAATAATAAAGCATAATATGCCAAAAATGTGTTTTCTTCCATCTTCAATATTAAAATGGCTACACAACAATTCACCAATTTTAATGTGTTATTTTTTTTTAATGCACACCGATATGACAGCTGTCACAATACAAACTAAAAAATTTTTTTCAAATGAAGTTGAAAACACTACTAGAAGTTGAAAAGCACTACTAGAGCCATGTTACAGAAAAAAACAAACAAACTTTTTGGCCAACCCAATAGTTAACAACAGAGCCCATGCGGCCCACAAAGCCTAAAGTATTCACTACCTGGCTTTTGCAGAAAGTTTGTCAACGCCTACCTTAGGTACTTCTAGGAAGCTTGGCCCTTAGAAAAGCTGAGATAGCAATGCATGATCCTAGTTTACACTAAGCTTTTGTTTGATGCCTAGTAACCATAAAGAGAAACGACACTTTTCTGGCTGTTCCTTCGTGAGATGTGACATGAAGGAGAAAAAAAGGCCTCATCCCCGATTACCTTCTCTGCCAGCCTGGCATCCCTTTTTGATGCCTGCCAAGTTAAAATCATTGACTCCCCTTCTGGAAACACTGATACCATTTTCAGGCATTAGTACTCTCACAGTATTTATTAGATGAGTTTTCCAAAAAGACAACCACCCCAAAAGTGGGGCACAAAGTAACAAGTTATAATTGATCTGGGGCATAAGAGCCAGAGAAGAAATGTAAGGGTGGAGATGACTGACACTTTATGGTGTTAGGTTTGTAAGGCGGACACTTGCGAGACGATTTCCGTTAAGGCCCTTGGCTGGCAGTTTAGTAGGCCTGCCTTCGGGGGCAGAGCTTAAGACCACATGGCCTAGCCTGTTGACTGACCTCTGGTAAAAGTGTGCTTACAGAGCGAGGGGGGGTGTATTTCCTGACTCAATTTTATTTTTACATAGAAATAGAACACATTGTTACAGTTTATAACTCTGTTTCAATCCCAGGGATAAGTAAAAGGAATTCACCTTGAATCTTGTAACCTGGATTTTCCCCTCTTGAGTGCTTTTTTTGTTTGTTTTGTCTTTGGACAAGTTACTGACAAAAATTATGCTCTTAGCTTTCCTCTAGCCTATTTTTTTCAAATGGGGTAGAATGTGAGAGTCACTGTAAACTTTTCCTGAAATGCACAAGTTCTGATAACTTCCTGGACCTATTTCACATGCAGAGGGGCTTGGACTTATGCACTTTGACAAAGCTTCTCATATGGTTTTCCCTAAGAAACTTAAAACATTATGTAAATCAGAGTTTGAGAAAATTTTCACCAAATTTAAAATCGTGTTAGTAATACATTAAAAAATTCCAAGTTTCAGAATAAAATTCAACTCTGAATCTTTACCCATGAGTGTGGGTTTAAAAATATATATTTATTTTATGTTACTTTTCCTGTCTCTAGGATGGTTATGATGTTTCACTTCTTTTCCTTAACAATTTTCCTCAGACATTCCTTTGGTTATGACTGCAAAAAGCGGGCCAACTTGCAGCTTCTGGACAGCAGTACCATCATGTACATAGCTGGGAACCAGCTGATCCTTCTGAATCTGAAAACCAAGGAACAGATGTACCTGCGAAGCAGCAGTGGTAGAGGAATTGGTGTCATTGGGGTATGACTTTAGTAACTTAAAAAAAATACATCTTTTTTGATTGCTCTATGAAGCAGCCAGGTAGGTGCCAACATCCACACACAGCATTGTGGGGCCACATGAAATGCACAGCGGTCTTTATTCTAAGGCATTCTCAGTTCAGTGATTACAACCACAGCATTCACTGACACTTTCTCTGTGTAATATTGCAATATTATATTATTAATATTATCATCCCGTTTTTCAGGAAAGGAATTTGGGGCATGTGGAAGTTAAGTGACTTTCCTATGATCATGTTGATTTTTTTCCACATTGAATGCATTGTTGCTATTCTGCAAAAATAGTGAAATGAATAGCACAAATGACGATTCAAATAATAAATAGAGCTTCCTTAGTCTTCTCATCCTCAGCATAAACGCATTCTAAATCAACTTGTTCTCATTTTAAAAGTCCCCTCTCTTACCATGCATTCTCTTTACCCACTTAGTTTTGATCTTTTCTTCCTAAGCCAAGCTTATGCTGTCTTTTTTGCCATCACCCCATTGAAACTGCCTTTACTGAGGGTGACCCATGGGCCTCCGGTGGACAAATCGGAGCGCCTCTCTAACTGTAGCTCACCTGGCCTCGTCCTAGCAGTGGGCCCCATGATCAAACTTTTCCTTTGGCTGTTCTTCTGCTTTCCGCTCCTAGAAATAGGTGTCCCTAGATCTGCTCTTATCAGTAACAAACAGCTTGAGGGGCTCTTCTTGGTGTCTTTGGTCTCTCGAGAGGGATGTCTGTTCAGGTTATGCTGTGTGAGACAGTGAGGGAAAAGAGGAGAAACACACACGGTTTGGGCTCATACAAGCAATCGTTCTATATGAGACACTCAGGAGGGTTTCCAGAAGGATCGGGATCCAAATCCAGTCTTCCCTGTCCTTGCCCTGCCTGCCTGAGGTAAGTAGATGAGGTGGAACTGGAAGGTGCAGGGCCCACTTCCCAGCACCTGCTGAGGCTGAGGGCTGCCAGCAGGAGGGCTGAGCTGGCAGGGGGCAATGGGATGTACTTTAGAGCAGACGAGACCCAATAGGACATTTAGATTACAAGTGGAGGACAGTGCAGAGGTTTAGAAGATTCTTCTTCTAAAAATTACTGTTGATGTACACTATTATATTAGTTTCAGGTGTACAACCCTGTGATTAGGCATTTATATAACTTATGAAATGATCACCCTGATAAATCGAGGGCCCATCTGGCAGCATACATAATTATTACAATATTATTGACTATATTTCCTATGCTGTAGTTTACATCCATGACTATTCTGTTCCTACCCATTTGTACTTCTTAATCCCTTCACGCTTTTCACCCAGCTCCCCAAACCCTCTCCCACTGGCCACCATCATGAAGATTGTTATCTGAGGAGTGAGGCAGGGACATGGCAATGGGAATGGAGAAGGTGAGGAATTAATTCCCTTAAATTTCACATCAACCATGTTAGTTTGGATACCATTATCATTCCCATCTTATTCATGAGGAAACTGAGGCACAGAGAAGTTAAGTAACTTGCTTGAAGTTACACAGTTGGTAAATATGAGAGGCAGTACTCAAGTCAGATGTCAGAGCCAAGAAGCAAAGGGAACTAAAAAACAGAAGATTCCAAGGGCTTAGGAGGAAATGGTTGAGACTATATCTTTCTAGATCCCCCAACCTGGGGTTGGCTGTGGACACAGGATATAGTGAGATGGAAGAGTGAAAGATAATCTCAGGTTTGTTTCTTACTTGACCATCTTGTACATGCTTGTACATAGCATGTATGCAAGATAAAGTCTCTGTCCTCAGGGAATTTGTTATAAGACCAATGAATGGATTCAGCAAGAATTTATTATATAAAACTCAGTGCCCAGACACTACCCAGAACATGCAGGGAGTTGAATTCATAGAGGTCATGAACTTAAGAATTTAAAGGCCATTTAAAGAGACAAAAAAATATTAAAAAACAAAACCCAAAAAACTATGTAAGCACATGATACTATACAACTACCAGCAGTGTGCAAACATTTGCAGGCCCACACGTGAGGGTCTTGGGCTCTGTGGAAGGGAAGTCAGTCAGAGGCCCTCCTGAGATACCATGAGCCCTGAAGTCCACACCATCTACCAAGTACTGAGCAACATCTGACTATCATTTGTTTTTCTATCACTTTATGGCCGACAGTAGTTTTGAAATTTCTGTTTTGTTTTGCTATACAGTACTTTGGTCTGAGATCAGCAGTTAGAGGTGAAGTGTGGTCAAGAAGGCTAATCCTGATCCTCATCCACCTCTGCCCTGCGCAGCTGCGGGTCCCCAGGGGGTTTCTCCATCTGTGCTGGAGCGTTGGTGACTGGGAGGTGGAGGGGCCTTTCCCCATTGCCCAGGCTGGCTTCACTTTTAAATACTTTGGCAAGGTTATGAGAAACCTGTGAGAAATGTATTTTGGGATATGTAAGCTATCTTCCAGAAAAGATAGGGCAAATCTCTATGTTGAGTGTAAACAAATGACTTAACTAGTCCCGGATCTCTACTAAAAATGATGGAAAACCCCAAAACTCAACCCCACAGTAGCTTTCTATCTGAAAGCACAGAAACCTTTCACTTGCTATAGATAAGGCCTGGGGGCGGGGCGGGGTAAAAGAGTTGCCTGAATCTCCACTCAGGTTTCTGAGACCACATATCCTACATAATATTTATTTGTAAATGGGGATCTAGAAAGATATAGTCTCAACCAATTTCCTCCTAAGTCCTTGGAATCTACTGTTTTTTCATTCCATTTGCTTCTTGGTTCCAACACCTGGCTTCAATCCTGTCTGTCATAGTTACCAGCTGTATAACTTCAAGCAAGTTACTTAACGTCTCTGTGCCTCAGTGTCCTCATCAATAAGATGGAAAAGAGAATGGTATCCAAGCTAACATGGTTGATATGAAATTTAAGGGAATTAATTAATATAAAACTTAGATCAGTGTCTGGCACATAGTAAGCACTCAATAAATGTTAGCTGTTTTTGGTGTTATAATTATCTTAGTGAGTGTCTAACCTAGAAACCCAAGCCCAGTTTCAAGTTGAACTGATAGGTATTTCCTGGAATGGAAGAATAACAGGCAACTTGCCAGTAGAAAGGCAACCTTAACACAGGTCTTATCAGCCCACATGTGGAGGGAAGAAAAAGACCTGCAACATTTCTTGGGTACCAGACCTTCCAGCACAGTCTGTATCAGAACCAAGCTCCTTGTCCTTGGGTATATAATCAGGAGTTGCAAAACAGTAACTGAAAATAGAAGTTTATAAGTACAATATGTGTTTTAAATAGTTTATTCTTATAACAACCTATTTTTATTTTTATTTTTATTTTTATTTTTGGCCACCCATTTACTCTTCCTGCACATTGGTGTACAAATGAACAAAAATAACAAAGAAACATATGATTCTATACAATTTATATGACTACTATTTGAAAGGCTGACACAAATAATTTATCCAGGGCATATTCACTATTTTCCACCGTGTCTGGATATATTGTGACTTTCTCATTTCTAATAAGCTTACATTCATTTGTGGTAAGTTTGGTCAAGGCAAAAATTTAAAAATTAGGATGTAAACTATTCTGGAAACATGAATTTTTCTATGCTAAAATTTAGGTTGGTTTATATGAAGGGTGGTTTTCAGACCACAGCATCATCACTTGGGAACATGTTAGAAATGTATCAAGTGGAAATTCTTGAGTCTTGGCCCTTATTTACTGAACCAGAAACTCCGTGCTTTATTAAGCCTTCTCTGTGATTCTGATGCACTCTAGAGATTGAGAATCACTGTTGTAGCTCTTTTGAAAGCAACTGCGAAATTTTTAAAGTTCAATTTGATTATATTAATGAAATTAAAACCTAAAATGAATATGCTGGTTTTCAGTTAAATCATATTCATCATCGAGTATTTATCAGATGCCCCTTTTTTAGTTTTCTATTGGAGTGGATCCTAATAAACAAATTATAAAATAACAGTTGCTAAGTACTGCGTTAATAGGGCTATTTAAATGTAAATCTTTGTTTATTATTTTAGTGAGATTTCATTTTTTGTAGGTTCACCCTGATAAAACTTACTTCACCGTGGCTGAAAAAGGAATTTCCCCAAAGATTATCATCTATGAGTACCCTTCCCTGAGGCCCTACAGAATCCTTCGAGGTGAGTCCAGTAAAATCTTTAAAATGCCAGTGTTCAAAGTTAACAACATTTTGAAGAACATGTGACATTATTTATATCAGTTAGAGTCCTACCAAGAATCAGAACTAGTAGAAGACTGAAGAGAGATATAGCCTCAACCGATTTTCCCCTAAGTCCTTGGAATCCACTATTTTGTCCCTTATTTAAAGGAACTGGCTTATGCAGTTGTGGGGACTGGCATGTCTGACGTCTGGAGGACATGCCTGCTGGATCGGTCCAGTTATGACAGTGGGTGTCGAAGTCTCCAAGTGGAATAGTAGATTCATTTATTTCTTCCTGAAGTTTTTGTCTGCTTTTGCCTCGTGTAGTGTGATGCTCTGTTTTTTACGGGCACACATGTTAAGGATTATTATGTCTTCTTGGAGAACTGCAGCCTTGTCATTATGTCGTGCCCCTCTTTATCCCTGATCATGTCCCTTCCTTTGAAATCTGCTCAGCCTGAAATTAATGTAGCTATTCCTGCTTTCTTTTAATTAGTGTTAGCAAGGGATGTTTTTCTCCATCCATTTACTTTTAATACACATGTGTGTTTACGTTTCATATATAGTTAGGTCATTTTTTTGTCATGTTTTTTGATTCACTGCAACAATCCCTGTCTTTTAATTGGTACATTTAGATCACTGACATTCAAAGTGATTATTTACATAGTTGAAGTAATATCTATATTTGTTAGTTTTCTATTTGTTGTCTTTGTTCTTTGTTCCTGTTTTTGTTGTCCCATTTTTTTCTGCCTTTTGCAGTTTTCATTGAGCTTTTTGTACAATTCCATTTTTTTCTTTTCTTAGCATATGTTATACTTCTTTTATTAAACTTTTTTTAGTGGTTGCCCTGAAGTTTACAATATACATTTTCAACTAATATGGGTCCACTTTCAAATAACAGTGTACTACTTCACAGGTAGTGTGAGTACTTTATAATAACAAAAAATCATAATTTCTCCCTTCCTCCCTTATAATATTGCTGTTATGTACTTCACCTTTATATAATCTTACACTCATTTCCCTTACATAAGCATACTATATACATATACATACATACTCAAATACATTGTCACTACTATTGTTTTGAACAGTTATCTGTTACAACAATTAAGAATAAGAAAAATAAAAGTGTTAATTTTACCTTCACATATTCCATCTTTGATGCTCTTCCTTTCTCTGTGTATATCTGAGTTTTGGGTCTGTATTTTTTTTCCTTCTCTCTAAAGAACTTCTCAACATTTCTTGCAAATTCCTTCTATGTTTGTCTGAGAAAGTTTTTATTTGTTAGTTTTGAAGGATAATTTCACTGGATACAGAACTGGTATTTCTCTTGTCTCAACACTTAAAAGATTTCACTCTATTCTCTCCTTGCTTGCATGGTTTCTGAGGAGAAGTTGGATTAATTATTATCTTTTTTTCTTGTGGGTAGGTGTTTTTTTTCTTCTCTATCTTCTTTCATTTTTTTAACCTTTCATTTATGCAGATTGGTGTTCTCTGGGTTTCCTGGATCTGTGTTTTGGTGTTTGATGTTAATTTGAGGAACTTCTCAGTCATTATTGTTTCAAATACAGGGTCCAGCACAAATAATGCCCTTTTTTATTATAAAATCTTTTATTACAAAATTATAAGCATGTAATTCTGTAACATAATTATATCACACTGAACCACACCATATGACATTTTAGTTGAACTGTTCAAATTAAAACTATAAATTATTACACCCATATTATTACCCTACCAACCACACTCAAGCAGGCATTACTTCTGCTGGACCCTGTGTTTCTTCTGTTCCTTTCTTCTCCTCTGGTATTCCCATAACACGTACATTATACCTTTTGTAGTTGTCCCACAGCCCTTGGATATTCTGTTCTGTTTTTAGCAATCTTCGTTCTCTTTGATTTTTAATTTCCAAAGTTTTTATTGACATAGCCTGTAACTCAGAGATTCTTCCCTCATCTGTGTCCACTCTGCTAATAAGCCCATCAAAGGTGTTCTTCATTTCTGTTACAGTGTTTTAGATTTCTAGAATTTTTTTTCTTCTATCTTAGGATTTCCATCTCTTTTTCTTATATTTCCCATCTGTTCTTACATGTTGTCTATGTGGTCCTTTAGAACCCTTGGCATGTTAATCGTGGTTGTTTAAATTCCTGTTCTAATAATTTCAGTATCCATGCTCTGTCTGGTCCTGATGCTTGCTGTGTCTCTTCAAATTGTACTCCCTGCCTCTGGTATGCGGTGTGATTTTTTTCTGGAGAGCCAGAGATGATGTACTGGGTAAAAAGGGCTCCTTTAAATAGACCTTTAGAAGTGGTGGTAAGGGGTGTGTGTGGGGCAGAGGGGGAAAGTGTTCTATAACCCTACGAATAGGTCTCAATTTTTATTGAGCCTATGCTTCTGAATTGTGAACTTTATAAATGTTTTCAGTATTTTTCTAACCACTTTGGTGGGATAGGATGGCTAGAGTGGGCTGGAGTTGAGGGCAGGCAACCTTGGAGATATTGCAGGCTTGGTCCTATACCACTGCAATCAGGCAAATACTGCAATAACATGAGCTATAATATTTTTGTTGGTGGAGGGCTTGTCCTCAATTTGTTAAAAGCACAGCATCTGTGAAGTGCATTAAGCAGAGTGCAGTAAACGAGTTTGCCTGTGTTTCAGTTACATTCTTATAACATCCCAGAATTTTAGGTGCTAGTTAATCAGTTTATCTTGAGGGTAGGCCTTACTAAGAACAGAGTGCTTTAGGGTATTTCCAAATAGCTCCCTTTCCCTCCCCCTGATGGAAGTCCAAGGGGGTTTTTCTAAATATGTACAGTGGGACTCTGGTCAAGCTCTTGGAGGTAAATTTCACAATATTGTGAAATATTGGGGGCCACCTTATGACAGGGTAGCCCTGGAGTTTTTAGCTCTCAGGCTGGCCCACGCTGCGCTTCCCACAATCCGTCAGTTACAGTTCAGGTTTTCCTGTCCCCACCCTGATTCCCTTGCTGTTGTGGCTGTATCTTGCCCTGAGTCTCTGCCCCGGTAAACTGCAAATCCCTATATCCACTTGTCAGTCTCTCCAGACTTGGGGGTGATAGTTTGCCCTGTGTCCCTCTCTTGTGGACCTGAGAAGAGTTGCTGTTTTTCAGTCGGTTCAGTTTTTAACTTGTTGTTAGTGTTGATGGGAGAGACCTGATTCTTCTTGCTGACGCAGGCAAAGAGTGACGTATCAGCAAATATATTAATGTGCAATCAGAGTTTATTAATAATCCATTCCCATGGAAGAGAATGGGCCTCGCCAAGATGGCGGGGTAGGGGGGTGAAAGGCAGAGGTTCATGGCAAAGCAGAGTGGCAAAAGCAAGGGCGGCTGAAGGCTGGGATGGCAAGCCCCCAGGTGGCCTGAGGCTGGGTGGTCAGAGAGTCAAGAGCACCCAGATTGCCAAGAGAGTGAGTCCTTAGTTCTGAGAACTTACATAGCTGGTGGGATGGGAGTAAAAAGGTTCCATATTGATTAATGGGTAAGTGTGGTGCCAGCTTTCCTGGGGGGATGTGACTCCCCAAACTTAGGTGTGGTGGGGGTCTGTTAGCCTGGATCCTTATCTTGCTCCAGACTCCATTCGTTCTTCTTGTTGTAAAACAGATACATGGCAGGAGGCAGTTAATTAAAGTTGGGGCAGTTACCCGAAGTTTCTTATGGGCTGCTTCTTGGGGTACTAGGGACTCTCTTCTGCCTTTCAGGTCCTGGGATAAAAGCACAGTTTCAAGGCTTTCTTTCCCAGGTAGTAGAAATGCTGCATAGAATTTCAAGGACTTCCCTCCTTCCTTGCTGACACAGTGTTTCTTGTGGTGTTGGAACACCTGGCAATATTATCGGACCAGGCTCAGGACGGCTGAGTCAGTGGGCGAGACGTGTCTTCCTCCTTCTCCCTGCCTTCGCTTGCTGTTCATTCTTCCTAAGTGCTAAAAGGCATCTCCTGGCAACCAGGATGCTAGACGCTGGCCAGTAACAGAAGTGCAGCCTCAAAATTCTTCCTATGCTGTCTCCTGCCTCATTAGGATGGAGTCGTGACTTCCTAGCTCTTTGCATGGAAACCTGAAGTCATCAAATTTTATTTTGTGATTTTTTTTTACAGTAGTAAACTTTAAATTGTAGATTGGATTCCTTCTGAAAACATGCTTTTGTGCCCCCTCCCTGACTACATAAAATGGAATATGTTCTTAAAGTGTTTTTCTCATGCAAAACGTTATTAAGATTTATTTCCCCCCTCACCTCATATTACTGATTCTTTTTAAAACCAAGGTTGTGAATGATTTTAGAATGATCTATTTAGGGGATTCTTGGCATTCTACCATCAATATACATAATCAAGGCGGCACATTCTCTGTCTCTCTGTCTCTCCTGTATGAATTTTTAAATAAGACACTTTTGAAAATGAAATAAATGTTACACCTGTTTATTACATTCATCCTTTCAGATGGGACTGACCTGGGCTATGCTTACATGGACTTTAACTACAGAGGTACATTGCTGGCCTCTGTTGGTGGCAACCCTGATCATACGTTGACCATCTGGAATTGGAAGGAGGAACAGCCCATACTGAGGACAAAAGCTTTTTCTCAGGAAGTTTTTAAGGTTACTTTCAATCCTGAAAATGATGAACAGCTTACTACATCGGGATCAGGCCACATCAAGTAGGTTGTGCAACTGAAACAGGTCCTAGTAAATTATAGTAAATGTATTTTCTAAGAGGGTCAATCAGCTGGAGACATTTTTGCTGATGTTAACATTAAGATATTTTATTTTTATCTTTTAATATGTTTTATTGATTATGCTATTACAGTTGTCCCAATTTTCCCCTTTCACCCTGCTCCGATTGGTACTCCCATCCCCTCCAGCAATCTCCCCCCTTAGTTCATGTCCATGGGTTATGTATATAAGTTCTTTGGCTTCTCCATTTCCTATACTTACACTTCCTGTTCTTAACATCCCCCTGGTCTATTTTGTACCTACCAATTTATACTCCTTAACCCCTGCACCTCTCCCCCCATTCTCACCTTTCCTCCTCCCAGCTGATGACCTTCCAAATGATCTCCATGTCTGTGATTCTGTTCCTGTTCTGTTTTTTCCCTTAGTTTGTTTTGTAGATTCAGTTGTTGATAGCTGTGAATTTGTTGCCATTTTAATGTTCACAGTTTTGGTATTTTTTTTCTTAAATAAGCCCTTTAACATTTCATATAACAATGTCTTGGTGATGATGAAGTCCTTTAGCTTTATCTGGGAAGTGCTTTATCTGCCTTTCCATTCTAAATGACAGCTTTGCTGGATAGAGTAATCTAGGTGGTAGGTCCTTGCTTTTCATCACTTTGAATACTTCTTGCCAGTCCCATCTTGCCTGCAAAGTTTCTTTTGAGGATTCAGCTGACCGTCTTATGGAAACTCCTTTGTAGGTAACTCTCTGCTTTTCTCTTGCTGTTTTTAAGATTCTCTCTTTGTCTTTAACCTTGGACATTTAAATTATGATGTGTCTTGGTGTGGTCCTCTTTGGGTTCAACTCGTTTGGGACTCTCTATGCTTCCTGGACTTGTGTGTATGTCTATATCCTTCACCAAATTAGGGAAGTTTTCTTTCATTATTTTTTCAAATAACTTTTCAATTTCTTGCTCTTCCTCTTCTCCTTCTGGCACCCCCCGCCCCCTGCCAAAAATTCAGATGTTGGAATGTTTAAAGTTTGTCCCAGAGGTTCCTAAGCCTCTTCTCTTTTTTTTTTTTTTTTTTTTTTTTTTGAATTCTTGCTTCTTCATTCTGTTCTGGTTGAATGTTTATGTCTTCTGCTCCCACTTGTTGATTTGAGTCCTGGTTGCCTTCTCTTTACTGTTGGTTCCCTGTAGATTTTTCTTTATTTTACTTAATGTAACCTTCATTTCTGCCTGGGTCTTTTTCATGCTGTTGACATACCCAGTGAGTTCTTTGAGCATCCTCATCTCCAGTCTTTTGAACTCTGCATCTGATAGATTGCTTACGTCCATTTCATTTAGTTCTTTTTTGGGGTTTTGTTCAGTTCTTTCATTTGAGCCATACTTCTTCATGGCTTCATTTTGGCATCCTGCCTGTGTTTGTTTCTGTGTGTTAGGTAGAGCTGCTTTGACTCCCTTTCCTAGGAACGTGGCCTATTGTAGAAAAGCGCACCTGTAAGTTGTATGGAGTGGAGCCTTAGGCAATCGCCAGGGTGGAGCAACCCGTGTCACCACTGTGTGGCTCTGTGTGTGGGAGGGCTTGGCGAGGGGATAATGTTGTTGCCTGGCCTCTGGAGTTTTGCCCAGGAAGAAGCTATCTCCCAGCAATTGCCTAGATGTCAGCCACTTCAATTTCTCCCTGTATGCCACTGGTGCCCTTCCAGCTATTGCCATGGTGCCAAATCCCAGACGGAATGGGTCCACATAAGTCTCAAGTCTGTTGTGGGCCCTTTAAGAGAAGTCTCCTCTGAATCCTGCACTTTCTTCCACCAGCCCAAACCCCACTGGTTTTTACAGCCATAAGTTATGGAGACTTATCTTCCTGGTGCTGGAACCCTGGGCTGGGTGTCTGACCTGGGGCTGGAATCCCTTATTTCCAAGGTCTCCCACCCAATTCTTATCCACTACATGTGGATATGGCACAGCCTGTTCTGTGTCTCCGCATCTCTCCACGCCTCTCCACGCCTCTCTGCAGGACTCATGTCTCTGTCCCTCCTGCCTGTCTGGATGACTATGGCTTCTTTAAATTCTTGGTTGGAGGACTTCCATACATTTTCTGACATTTCTGGGTAATATTTGTTTTGTAGTCTAGTTGTAATTTTTGCTGTAGTTGTGTGGGGAGGCAAGCTGTTTTTCCCTATGCCTCCATCTTGACTGGAAGCCCTTTAGGATACTTTTCAAATGTGTGCTTTTTAAAGCTAACTAGCAGCATAGCTTTTCTAATTCAGTATGAGGATTTTTAGTGCAGACAGCACTGATAAAAGAAGGGCTTTTAAATTTAGCCTGCTGCCTTCTTAGAAGCTGTACCTTAAAACAGTTTGTATATTGTTTTCCTATCATTGGCATGGTATTTCCAGATTTGTATTGAACTTTCAGATTTACTATTAAATTTGTTGTTCATAGCAATATGTATGATGGATAAGTCATTTTGACATCTCTGAACTTAATCTTCATCTGTTGTCACAAGAATTACAACAGAATCATTTCTGACACAGGCCCCTTGATACTAAAGGGTAGCAGAGCCTACACTTAACCTCAGGTCTTCGGCTCTAAATTCCATATCTTTTCCACTGTATCACACCCTGGTCCATTTCCAGGATGGAATGGTTTTGTCCTCCTTTTTGGCTCCACCCTGTCTCATGTGTTTATTTAATAATCTTCTACCATCACCCTTAATGCCCATAACATGATTCCTGTGTCTTTTTATGAAAGACGTTTTTGTCTATCCTAAATTCTTATTCCAATGAAAGCTGATCTTCTTATTCATTAGAAATATAGAATAACTGAACAGATTTTTAAATTCAGTCTTGGGGGAGTTCTCCAGTAACACTCTCCTAACCAGAGGCTAAACATTTCCATTTCCTTACATTTCCCCATCATTTAATAAAGTCTATATTTTCTGTGCACTATATCTTTGGGGAAAGAGGGACATGGAACAATATCATGCATGAAGTGCTGTAAAAGAAACACAGACTATATGGAAACAGATGACCAGGGGACCTGCCATAGCCTCGGAGAAGGGGGTTGGTCACCTAGTCTTCGACTTCTATTATTGGCATTGATATCTTCCATTATCTATTTTATATCCAGTTAGTAGGCCAGATTCTTTTTCTACATGGTTTTTTATCATTCTGATTGTATATTTGTTTAGTCTGTTAGTGGAAAAATACTAGTAACAACTAACATTTATTGATTACTTCTATGTGCCAGGCACTGTTCTAAGAATTTTTCAACAATTTTATGAGTTAGGTGCTACTAATATTCCCATTTTATACATGAGAAAATGAAGGCACGCTGTAGTCAGGAAAGTCACTTAAAGTTACAGCAAGTAAACTGGAATTTGGGAAAACTTTTGTGTATTCTAAAACATTACTATCCAGCAGAACTTTCTGACAGGGTGGAAATATTCTGTGCTGTCCATTCCAGTAGACACTAGCCACATGGAGCTTATTGAGCAGCTGAAACTGGCTGGTCTGACTGAAACACTGATTTTAAAATTTTATTTAATTGCTTTAAATCTGAATTAGTCCAATTTGACTAATGGTTATGACATAGGACAGCACACCTCTAAAATATAAGATCTACAAAGGCAAGAAATTTTTTCTTGGTTTATTTTGCTCAACGCTGAGTTCATATTGCCTAGAACATTGCCTGACAGGTAGTAGATAATTAATATGTATTAATCGAATGAGTGGTGTAATAATATATGTGACTATGAAACATATACATTCTTGGATCATATTGAAATTTAAAGAAACTTCTTTGATGTTAGTACATTTAGTCTCTTTCTTGTCTGCAGATTCTGGGAAATGGCTCAAACATTCACTGGTCTCAAGCTTCAGGGTTCACTAGGTCGATTTGGGAAAACAACCACTACTGATATAGAAGGTTACATGGAGCTCCCAGATGGGAAGGTGAATACAGCCTCTATTCTACAATAGTAGAACTATGTTTTCAAGTGACATGCATGTGAAGGCACATTACACATTCTAAAAAGCACTACCAATATTAGCAACAACAGATACTATACTTGGGAATATAATAGACATTTAATTTTGTCTCTCACATTATCAGTCTTAATACATTTCCATGAAATTGTTATAATGCACATGTACATTCCATTTGCTGTTTTGTTTTTACTAAACATTATACACACATATAAAGTATGCAAGCCTTCTCATATATTAATATAGTGACACACATGTTCCTTTTAATTATGTCATGGAGTTGCAATGTTTATATCTTTCCCCTCTCTTTTCTTTGCCATGATACTTCAAGAGAATTTACCAAGTCAAAGGTTATATACTGTCTTGTGGCATTGGTTTTTATTGTCAGATTATCATTCAGCAAGATTGAGCAACTTTACAGTAACATCTACAACACTGCAGCTTTAAAATAAACTGTTAGTTTATTTTTTAATATTGTTAGATTACTTTGTTTCTTTCTCTTATAAAATTTATAGGCATATTGCCTGTAGAATCATTTCTCTATTAACATTATATTTGGTTTCTTATTAGGATTAGTTATTTGTGATCATCTCAATTATAAGTAAATGCCAGTGTACAAATATTACTCTAAGGAACAAAATGGCCTAGACTTCTACCTAGTAGGATATTCTCAGTTAGGAATCATGGTGTATAGGAGGAAATAAAAAGCATTGGGTTCTGGCTAAACAATAGTATATCCAAACCCATAAAAGGATTGTAAATTTATTTCACCTTCATGTTCTGAATACTGTAAGAATTAAGCTACATAAAGATCAATGCAACTCTTGTTAAAAACATGGTATGAGATATATCTTTAAAAGTTTCAGTAGAATTTGTGTAGATGTAGGGGAGGAAAAAAAGTCTTTTTATTTTTTAAATTTAGCTTTATTTTTTATTTTTAGAGAGAGGAAAAGGGAAGGAGAAAAAGAGGGAGAGAAACATCACTGAAACAGCAATTGGTTGCCTTCCCTACTCACCCTGACCAGACACCAAAACTGCAATCCAGGCATGTGCCCTGACTGGGAATCAAACCGGTGTCCTTTCCATTTGCGGGACAATACTCAACCAACTGAGACACACCATACAGGGCAGAAGTATTTTTTAAATTAGAGTGCCACAAGGAAATATTTAGCATTAGGAATAAATATCGGATAATCAGAGGGCTAATTAAAATAAAGCATTCATCTTGGGTAAGAGTGGGAAAAAAGACTGAGAAGTATAGTTAGGTCCTGGTGTTTGAGGGCTTTAGCAGCCAGGCAGAACTATTATATAGTGGAAGAGCAGAGTAGCAAATGAAAGGAGTTATAGATAAATTTGGCCACAAAATCTCAAGTGAATTAGAGTAAAGAAAATCTGGAATCAAAGAGATGAGCTAGGAAGGAGGATGTTGCTTCCCTCTAAGAAGAGGTGATGAGGGCTTAGACTTTTCTCAGGATAGTTGGAAAAGGAAAGCTAGACATGAATGACATTTCAAAAAGGAATGCCTTACAGGCTGTGGTGAATTTGGTGGCTTTAGTTGCTGGACAGAAGAAACCAAGTCTAAATAAAGACTCTACCACAAGTGGGCTGAAGCTTAGTAGGTAATATAAATAAGAATGGGTAGACCAAGAGGTAGAAAAGGCTGGGTGAGGTCCTGGGTCACCTAGGTGAGAGGGACAGGGGGATGCAGCATCCTGGGGCAGGCAGGAATTAGGTCAGCGTTCCCCAGCGGTCATTTCATGGAGCGTTAGTCTGCAGAGAACTCGATGACAATAAGACTTCCTCTTCGAATTCCTTTGTACCTAAAAATTCCTCTTGGTGATTCCCAGTAAATAGTTTTGTGCCAAAGAGTCCTAGAGAAGAGAAATATGTTTGACTTTGTTTATCCTAGCATCTGTCTTCTGAGGCTGTGGTCGTCAAACAGGAGCTTTTGAGCCACAGTGCCTCGTTTAAAATCCTGACTCCTCTGAGTAATTTTGGGGAAGATACTTAACAGTTCTGTTCTTCAATTTTTTTCCTTTGTAAAATGGGGATAATAATAGTCAGGGCTTCCTCTGGCTTATGTGGTTTTGTGTGAAGACAAAAATTGTCTTTGGGAGAATAAAGTATCCAACTTACACAACTGTACATGTTATCCCCAATAAATGTACCTAGTTCATATAGTTTTTAGGATGAATTTATGTATGAAAAAGGCTCCAGCAGTTCTCAGCACAGTGTCAATACTCCATTAGTAGTATTTTTTAGTTAACACCTGTTAAACATCCTAAGAACTAGTGTTTAGCGGTATGTATTGATACTTCGGGAAGTGGGGGTTAAATGAATTAATATGAGGTGATTCCAGATGATCATCCTTCTTTGAAACTGGATACTGTTATACTATAATCTTCTGAGCTCAGTAATGCCCTCACAACTTATCAAACATAACAGTTGATATTATCACACTTAAAGAGTCGGTCTCATCTATCAAGAATTGTAGACATACCTCTGACTTTTGACTCAATAATTCCTCCTGGATTATATCCTTAAGAGATGTACAAAGACCCTGGCTGGTGTAGCTCAGTGGAAGGAGATCTGGCTTGTGAACCAAAGGAGTTATAGATAAATTGCTGGTTCGATTCCCAGTAAGGACACATGCCTAGGTTGCAGGCCAGGTCCTCTGTAGGGGGCGCATGAGAGGCAACCATACATTGATGTTTCTCTCCCTCTCTTCCTCCCTCTCTTCCCCTCTCTCTAAAAAGAAATAAATAAAATCTTTTTAAAATAAAGATGTACAAAAAATATATAGTAGATATGTTTGAAAAGTTACCAGCAGCTTATAGCCTAGTCACAACAATGAAAATGATGAGCAACCCTCAGAAGAAATACATCAGCATGTGATAAATGGTTCTTCCTGAGGCAGTGAGTTTTCATTTCTATATTTTCTTATTTTTTCCATATTTAAAATGTTTTACTTTTATAATCAAGAAAAATAATCTTAAAAAAATCACTTTTCCTGTTATTGGAGGCATAAATATACACACTGGTCTGTCTGAATGCACCTTCTTCCCTTTCCACACACCTGTCAGGTGCTCTCAGGGTCAGAATGGGGCAACATGCTGGTGTGGGAAGCTGGCCTCATCAAAGTCGAGCTCTGTCGAACTGGAACTAAGTCCTGTCACCAGGGTTCCATCAACCAGATAATGCTAGATGAGGGAGAAGTTATCACTGCTGGGTCAGACGGATGCATTAGGGTAAGTTTTCCGGGTACGTGGACAGTAGCACCCACATTTAAGCCTTGCAGATCACTTGATTGGTTCTATCATTTTTTCATTTCTCACAACTGTCACTTTATAAAGGAGATCAGTGATCACTTACACCCAAGTCAACTTGTTTTAAATACTGCTTCTCTTGTGGTAAATATTTGAATTCTAGTCAAAATTAATTTACAGCATCTTAGCACTAAAATTTTCTGAGGGAATCTTTTGATATTTCGATTCTGTTATTGAAATAGTAGTTTGAGAAAAGGGAAAGCCCATGTTTGCACAATATAGAGAGTGGACACAGATGTCCTTCCACAATGTCTGGTGTGAATGCATCATTTTCTAGAGACAGAAATACCAAACATTTGTAGGTTATTTTTTACTGCGGTTACCAAAGGGATATACTCAAAGATGAGATGGGAGGGTTTGGTTCCTCCATTCTTGTACCTGACAATAGTGAACTCACTTGTCCTCACCAGCGGACACTGTCCTGCCCAGAGAGTGGGTTTAGCTGGAACATTGTTCCTCCTGGTTGTGGTCGCACCTGCATATGTGTGCCCTGCTATTGCTGACAAACCTGGAGCCCCGGATTTATCTTGTGGTTCCCTTGGTGTGGATTCTTCATGGGGCCTTTTCTAAGAAAGTGGTAGTGTTATCTGCATAGTCTTTAGGAGGTATTATCAGAAGTAAAACTATTTTTCAATAGTCTGATCATTGTTGACACCTATTGAGCTTATTATGTCTAATATATTGTTTATGCCAAATCTTCCATAGTCTGCCTTCTAACTGTTAGCTTTTTGAATCCAAGTATAAATTTACATTTACCATATTAAATTTAAACTTAAAAGATTTTACTCAATACTCTGAGAATATGTTATATCTTTTATTATGCCATACAATATATTCACACCTTCTAAGATATGTCACCCCAAAATGTCAAGACACCCAACGGAAGAAATCCTCCAGAGAAAAGAAGTTAAATATTTCACAGAGGATCCCTTCATGGACACTGCTAATTTCTAAGCTTGATTCCATTTTCAAAGTTTATCCTCATCTCTTCAGTTCTTTACATTGAAATCTCTCTCTCTCACCCCTTAGGAAAAACTTACCCCAACTCCAGACACTAGGCTAGCCCTAGGACCTGGTACTCCCGCCATGGGGCTAACTTATGTGGGGCAACGCCAATCTGCCCTGAAATTACTTTCTCAGAGTCTGAGTTATTGAGTCTGAGAAAATGTGGCAGGTGTGTCAACAGAACCATCCAAAGTGGGCTTTGGCCCTTCGCAGAGGAAGTGCTTCTGAGTCTCTCTGCCGCATGATGTGAAACTGTGCTCCCTCACCTTTCCTGTAGCATTCTGATCTCCCATCCCAAGAACAACAATCCTTATACAAATAATACAGTCTAGACTGATGACAAGGAAGGGAAACAGTTTCTAATAAACACATAATCACATTAATTTTCTCTGTTTGTAATGAAGATAGTGTTTGAATTATTAAGCAAGAATGTCTATTTCCCCTTTCCAGGGAGCCTACAGGTAAATATGAAATAGGGCTTATTATGATGTCTTGCTGAACGAGCGACCATCTACTCCTTATGGCCACTCCATGTGCAGAAAGACCTGTTACATACATATCTTTAAACTTTGATATACAGATTACTTTGGGTGAATTAGAATTCCTATTTAGAGCTGTATTTTCTTACATATCTCTATAAATACAAAGGAAATTTTTGTATTTCTTTTCTGGCTTAGGAAATATTAATTCAGAACCTGCTCTATGATTAAAGTATTTTCTTATTAATTTTATAAGATATGGGATTTTGAGACCATAGACACTGCTGATATTATAGATGAGACTGGATTGCTAGAGATTGAGCCCATTAATGAACTTCAAGTAGACAAGAATGTTAAACTCTTCTCTATGATAAAAATGAATGAAACTGGAAGTAACGTTTGGTTGGCTCAGGTAAGTTGCATTCTTCTCTCTTGGCTCTTTTGAAGTTACCTGGACATAAAATTAAAACTATTATAATTTATTGTCACTGTAAGTCTATTTTACCATTAAGACTACTGTTGATAACCTGAATGAAGAGTTCTTGAGTTTTGGTGTTTAATTGACTATATGATAACACAGGAAACCTATTAGGAGTATATTTAGTATGTTAAACTAACTATAAATATAACAAGATTGCTTCGTTTATTGGGTGGTGGTGTTCCAAGACATATAGAAGTTGATTAGTTAAACTTCAGCCACAGTTTAAAATATATGTAAGCTTTTAGTGTTATAGTTTGTACTTAGTTTAAATCATAGAAAGAAAATTATTTTTATTTGATAAAAGTTCAAAAGGATAAGACAAAATGTTATTAGGTATTTAATCTTTTAGGATTCCAGTGGAGCCATATGGAAGCTTGACCTTAGTTTTTCAAATATCGTAAGTTGTCTATTTTCTTATTTTTCCTAATTTTCATATTAATAAATCTTTGTTATTCTTCCTTAAAAGATACTCTTTTTTTTCCATATTTTATCATTGTTCCCATCAAAAACTTGGTCAATATATCTGATTGCTATTGTTCTCTCTCTTCTGTTGTTATTATTGTATATTAAAAAAGGTCTATCATATAGCAAAACTTACCATAAAAGCAACAATGACAATGGCTAACATAGTGCTTCACAGTTTTCATAAACATAAGCCATTTGCATTGATATTATCTTGTGTAATCCTTGCCACTATCCCATTTAATGGGCAGGCAGTTGCCATCATCTCATTTTACTGATGAAAAAATGGAAACTGGCATTCAAAGGGGCTTGTGCAAAATCATACAGCCATCAACTCCATTTCTCCTAATTCCAAAGTCCAGTGTTCTTCCTAGCCTATTATGCTTTTCCTTTTCTTTTTTTTTTTATTAGGACACAATCACACATGTAGTAACAGGGTGCTATTTGCAATCCTTTAAACCTGACCTTCATTCTAGGCTAAGCTCTCTTTGAATCTAACAGAATTTTGGTCTTTTTATGATCAGACACAAGATCCAGAATGCCTCTTCTCCTTCCATTCTGGAGCCATTGAAGCCCTGGCCGTCTCTCCTCTCACTTACCTTATGGCCACTACTGGCTTGGACTGTAAGTAGAAACTCTTAATAAAAATATAGCTGGGTTTTTTTTGTTTCATTTTAAATACATTTTTTTCATATGTAAAACATTAAAAGCATTTGAAATTTTTCCAAAAGGTAAACCTTTTAATGTAAGTGAGGTAAGTTTTCTATGGGGGTAAGAGGGCATAAAATGCGGCAGCCATGGTTATTGTGAGATTAAAATAAGGACACAATCAGTAAATTATTCATGAAAATGTTATTAATTTTGGTTATATATATATTTGTGCTGTTCTTTTTCTTTCCATCTCCTTTCTTTCTTATTGATTTACAGAGAATCTATGTGGACTGTGCAAAGTGAGATTGATCTACCCATCAATCATCTGTTGTCTTTTATTTTTAGACTTTAAATAATTTTTTATTTTACATTTACAGTTGACATACAGTATTATATTAATTTCAGGTGTACAACCCAGTGATTAAACCTTATATAACGTACTAAGTGATCATCACCCTGATAAATCTCATACCCATCTGACACCATACATAGTTATTACAATATTATTGACTATGTTCCCTATACTGTACTTTACCTCCCCAAGACTATTCTTTAACAATCAATTTATCCTTCTTAATCCTTTCACCTTTTTAACCACTCCCCCGGCCCCCCTCCCATCTGGAAACCATCAAAATGTTCTCTGTATCTATGAGTCTTTTTCTGTTCTGCTTGTTAATTTATTTTGTCTTTTTTAGATTCCAAATATAAATGAAATCATCTGGTATCCGTCTTCTTTATCTGACTTATTTCACTCAGCACAATACCCTATAGATTCATCCATGCTGTTACAGATGGCAAGATTTCATTCTTTTTTTAATGGGTGGATTATATCCCATTGTACATACATACCACTTCTTTGTTCATTTATCTGTTGATTGACATTTAGGTTGTTTTCATATTTTGCCTATTGTGTATAATGCTGCAGTGAATATATGTGTGTTTGTAAGTTTTTGATTTAATGTTTTTGGTTTCTTCTGAGAAATAGCCAGAAATGGAAGTGCTAGGTTCTTTTGCCATCTCTTGTTTAGCCTTTGTTTTAAAGTCCATTTTGTCTAGTGTAAGTACTGCTACCCCAGCTTTTTAAAACTTTCCATTCATCTATTGATAGATACTTAGGTTGTTTTCCTAACTTGGCTATTGTACATAATGCTGCAGTGGACATGTGTTTGTATGTATCCTTTTGATTTACTGTTTTGGGTTTCTTCCAAGAAATACCCAGAAATGGAATTGCTGGGTCCGTTGTCTTATTAATAGGCTTTGTTTTAAAGTCCATTTTGTAGGACTTCTGGTCAAGATGGAGGTGTAGGTAGACGCACCTTGCCTCCTTGCTCAACTGCAAGAAGAATTAAAATGAAACCTCAAAATAAGTAACACCCAGACTGTCAGAAAATCAAACTGTATGGAAGTCCAACAATCAAGGATTTAAAGAAGCAGCATTCATTTACACAGGAAGCAGGGGTGGAGTCATGGAGATGGGTAGAGAGATGAGGAGGTGTGGTATGGAGGGAGAGGTGGTGACAGCTGTGGAACAGGTGGCCCCACAATCACATGTGGTGACTAAAATTTGGGAGGCATACCTTGGGAGTGAGCAATCCCAGACCAGGGCAGACCACAAAGCTCAGGGTTCCAATGCTGGGAAGATAAATCCCTGTAACTTCTGATTGTAAATAGCAGTGGGGGTTGGGGTGGCGGAAGAAACTGCCAGATTTTCAGGAGAGTCTACTTAAAGGGCTTGCACAGACTTAGAATGTATGCAAACCCACCCACTCTGGGATTTGCCACAAGGGCAGCAGCTGGAAGGGCACCCGTCACATATAGGAAGTGGGTGAAGTAACTGGGAATGGGGCTAGTGCTGGGCAAACCTCCAGAAGCCAGGCAGCAACATTGTCCTCTCTCTGAGCCCTCCTCTCACACAGAGCCACAAAGCAGTGAAACAAGTTGCCTAGCCCTGGTGGTTACCTATGTCCCCACCCCATAGAACTTAACGGGTGCACTAAGATAAGGAATCAAAGAAGCTCTAATTAATACACAGAAACAAACACAGAGAGGCCGCCAAGTTGAAGAGACAAAGAAACATGGCCCAAATGAAAGAACAGAAGAAAACCCCAGAAAAAAGAAATAAATGAAATGGACATAAGCAATCTATCAGATGCAGAGTTCAAAACACTGGTGATCAGGATGCTCAAAGAACTCACTGGGTACTTCAACAGCATAAAAAATACCCAGGCAGAAATGAAGGTTACATTAAGTAAAATGAAGAAAAATATACAGGTAACCAATAGTACAGAATATAGGGAAGAAAAAAAGCATTCAACCAGAACAAAAAGAAGAAACAAGAATTCAAAATAATGAGGACAGTATAAGGAGCCTCTGGGACATCTCCAAACATGTCAACTTCTGAATCATAGGGATGCCAGAAAAGGAAGAGCAAGAAATTGAAAAGCTATTTGAAAAAATAATGAAAGAAAACTTCCCTAATTTGGTGAAGGATATAGACATACACACAAGTCCAGGAAGCATAGAGAGTCCCAAACGAGTTGAACCCAAAGAGGACCACATCAAGACACATCATAATTTAAATGTCCAAAGTTAAAGACAAAGAGAGAATCTTAAAAACAGCAAGAGAAAAGCAGAGAGTTACCTACAAAGGAGTTTCCATAAGACGGTCAGCTGAATCCTCAGAAGAAACTTTGTAGGCTAGATGAGACTGGCAAGAAGTATTCGAAGTGATGAAAAGCAAGGACCTACCACCTACATTACTCTATCCAGCAAAGCTGTCATTTTGAATGGAAGGGTAGATAAAGTGCTTCCCAGACAGGAGAAAGCTAAAGGACTTCATCATCACCAAGACATTCTTATATGAAATGTTAAAGGGACTTATTTAAGAATTAAAAGACAACCAAAACTGTGAACATTAAAATGGCAACAAATTCACAGCTATCAACAACTGAATCTACAAAATAAACAAACAAAAACAAACTAAGCAAACAAACAGAACAGGAACAGAATCACAGATATGGAGATCATTTGGAGGGTTATCAGGAGAGGAAAGGTGAGAATGGGGGAAAAGGTGCTGGGATTAAGAAGTACAAATTGGTAGGTACAAAATAGACACAAGGATGTTAAATGGTATAGGAAATAGAGAAGCCAAAGAACTTATATGCATGACCGATGGACATGAACTAAGAGAGGGATTTCTGGAGGGAATGGGATACCAGGCGGAGGATAGCAAAGAAGGAAAACTTGGGACAAATGTAATAGCATAATTAAGAAAACATACTTAAAAATACAATCTGTGTAGTGTCAGTATTGTAACCCCAGCTTTTTTTCATTTCCATTCACCTATTGATGAATACTTAGGTTGTTTTCATATCTTGGCTATTGTAAATAATGCTGCAGTGAACAAACTCATATGTATGAATCTTTTTGATTTAGTGTTTGGGGATTTCCTCTGAAAAACACATGGAAGTGCAACTTCTGGGTCCTTTGTTGTCTTTTGTTATGGCCTTTATTTTAAAGTTTGTTTGTCTAATATAAGAAATGCTAACCCCCAAGATTTCCAAACTCTTTTTGTGAGGCCAGCATCATTCTAATCCCAAAACCAGATAAAAACACAACAAAGAAAAAAAACTACAGTCCAATATCACTGATGAACATAGACGCTAAAATCCTCAACAAAATATTGGCAAACTGCATCCCAAAATACATTAAAAAGATAGACTTCCAGCCAAGATGGAGGTGTAGGTAGATATACTTTCCCTCCTTGAGCAACCAAAAGGAGGACAACAACAAATTTAAAAACAAAAAAAACCAGAACTGCCAGAAAATCAAACTGTATGGAAGTCTGACAACCAAGGAGTTAAAGGAGAAACATTCAACCAGACCAGTATGAGGGGCAGAGACAGGCAGCAGGGGCAGAGAGGACACATAACAAGGCAGCGATTGGTGGACCAGGTGGTCCCACACTTTTATGCAGATAAACCAGGAAGAAGAGCTGGGGAGCAAGACAAACCATGCAACCCAGTGTTCCAGTATAGGAAAAGAAAGCCTCAGAACATCTGGCTGTAAAAACTGTGGGGGTTGCTGCAGCAGGAGAAACTTCCAGCCACAGGAGAGTTCACTGGAGAGACCCACAGGGTCCTAGAACATACACAAACCACCCACCTGGGAATCAGCAATAGAAGGGCCCAATTCGCTTGTTGGTACTGGGGGAAGTAGATGACTGAAAGCTGGCTGAGAGCCGAGCAAGTGGCATTGTTCCCTCCCAATCCCTCCCCCACACATAGCATCACAACACAGTGACCTGGGTTGCCCTCCCCTGGTAAGTACCTAAGGCTCACCCCTTACAATGTAACAAGCATGCTGAGACAAAGATATATGGCCCAAATGAAAAAAACAGATCAAAGCTCCAAAAATAGAATTAAGTGATGAAGAGACAGCCACCCTATCAGATCCACAGTTCAAAACAATGGTAATCAGGATGCTCACAGAATTGGTTGAGTTTGGTTACAAAATGGAGGAAAAAATGAAGGTTATGCAAAGTGAAATAAAGAAAAATATACAGGGAACTGACAGTGCAGGAGATGAGGCTGAGATTCAAGTCAACGATTGGGAGCAGAAGGAAGAGATAAACATTCAACCAGAACAGAATGAAGAAACAAGAATTCAAAAAGAGTGAGAGCTTAGAAACCTCTGGTGCCACTTAAATGTTTCAACATCCAAATCATGGGGGTGCCAGAAGGAGAAGAGGAAGACCAAGAAATTGAAAAGTTATTTGAGAAAACAATGAAGGAGAACTTCCCCAATCTGGCCAAGGAAATAGACTTCCAGGAGATCCAGGAACCTTGGAGAGTCCCAAAAAAGTTGGACCCCAAAAAGCATACACCAACGCACACCATAATTGCATTTTCCAAGGTTAAAGATAATGAGAGAATCTTAAAAGCAGCAAGAGAAATGAGACAGTTCCCTACAAAGGAGTTCCCATAAGAGTATCAGCTGATTTCTCAAAAGAAAGCTTGCAAGCAAGAAGGGGCTGGCAAGAAGTATTCAAAGTCATGAAAAGCAAGAACTACATCCAAGATTACTCTATCCAGCAAAGCTCTCATTTATAATGGAAGGGCAGAGAAAGTGCTTCCCAGGTAAGGTCACGTTAAAGGAGTTCATCATCACCAAGCTCTTATTATATGAAATGTTAAAGGGACTTATTTAAGGAAAAAAAGATAAAAAACTATGAACAGTAAAATGACAACAAACTCACAACTATCAACAATTGAACCTAAGAAAAACAAAAACAAAAAGCAAGAACAATCTAAGCAAACAAGTAGAACAAGATCAGAATCCCGGAAATGGAGATCAGCGGGGAGGGAGAGAATGGGAGAAAAGGTACAGGGCATAAGAAGCATAAATAGTAGGTACAAAATAGCGGGAGGTTAAGAATAGTATAGGAAATGGAGAAGCCAAAGAACTTATATGTATGACCCATGGGCATGAACTAAGAGGAGGGGAATGCTGGTGGGAGGTGTGATGTAGAGCAGAGGGGAATAAAGGGGAGGAAAACAATGGGACAACTGTAATAGCATAATCAATAAAATATATATATATTTTTTTAAAAGATAATACAACATGATCAAGTGGAATTCATCCCAGGGATGCAAGGATGGTACAATATTCACAAATCAATAAACATAATGCATCACATAAACAAAAGGAAAGACAAAAATCACATTATCATATGAATAGATGCAGAAAAAATCATTTGATAAGGCACAGAACTGATTTATGACAAAAAAACCAAACAAAGTAGGAGTAGAAGGAGCATGCCTCAACATAATAAAGGCCATATCTGAAAAACTTACAGCCGACAACACACTCAACAGGCAAAAGCTAAAAGCTTTTCCACTGATATTGGGAACAAGGCAATGATGTCTGCTTTCACCACTTCTATTCAACATAATATTGGAAGTCCTAACCACAGCAATAAGACAAGAAAAAGAAATAAAAGGCATAAATATTGGAAAGGAGGAAGTAAAACTGTCATTGTTTGCAGATGGTGTGATAGAGTACATAGAAAACCGTAGAGACTCCACCAAAACACTACTTGACCTAAGAATTAAATTTGGCAAAACAGCAGATACAAAGTCAATATTCAGAAATCAAAGGCATTTTTGTATGCCAACAATGAAATATCAGAAACAGAAACCGGGGGGGGGGGGGGGGAGGGGGGAATCCCATTTGCTATAGTAATGAGAAAAATAAAGTACCTAGAAATAAACCTAACCAAGGAGGTAAAAGACCTATACTCAGAAAACTACACAACACTGAAGAAAGAAATTAAAGAAGACGTAAACAAATGGAAGCGTATATCATGCTCATGGATTGGAAGAATTAATATCATCAAAATGTCCATACTACCCAAAGCAATTTATAGATTCAATGCAATCCCTATTAAAACACCAGAACATATTTCACAGATATATAACACCTATTTTGAAAATTTATATGGAACCATAAATGACCCCGAATAGCTGCAGTAATTTTAAGAAAGAAGAACAAAGTAGGAGGGATCACAATACCTGACATCAAACTATATTACAAGACCACTGTAATCAAAACAGTCTGGTACTGGCATAAGAAGAGACACATAGATCAGTGGAACAGAAGAGAGAGCCCAGAAATAAACCCATGTCTCTATGGTGAAGAAATATTCAACAAAGGGGGCAGAAGCATAAAATGGAGGTAAAAATAGCCTCTTCAACAAATGGTGTTGGGACATCTGAACAGATACATGCAAGAAAAATGAAACTTGCCCACCAAGTTACACTGTACACAAAAATAAACTCAAGATGGATAAGACTTAAATATAAGTCATGACACCATAAAGTCCTAGAGGAGAACATAGGCAGGAAAATTTCAGATGTTCCATGTAGCAATATTTTCACTGATATATCCCTTAGAGCAAGGTACATAAAGGAAAGAATAAATTAATGGCATTTCATCAAAATAAAAAGCTTCTGCATGGCTAAAGAAAACATCAGCAAAATGAAAAGGGAACCAACTGTATGGGAAAATATATTTGCCAATGATACCTTGGACAAGGCTTTGATCTCCAAAATATATTAAGAACTCATACAACTCCACTCCAGGAAGACAAACAATCCAATTTAAAAATGGGCAAAGGACCTGAACAGACACTTTTCCAAGGGTGACATACAGAGGGCCCAGAGCCATATGAAAGTATGCTCCACATCATTAGCCATCAGAGAGATGCAAATTAAAACCACAATGAGATACCACTCCACACTGGTCAGAATATCCATCATAACCAAATCAACAAAGAAGAAGTGCTGGTGAGGTTGTGGAGAAAAGGGAACTCTAGTCCACTGTTGGTGGGAATGCAGACTGGTGCACCCACTGTGGAAATTGTATGGAATTTTCTCAGAAAACTGAAAATGGAACTGCCTTTTGACCCAGCAATTCCACTGCTGGGATTATATCCTAAGAATCTTAGAACACCAACTCAAAAGAACCTATGCACCCCAATGTTCATAGCAGCACAATTTACAATAGTCAAGTGCTGGGAACAGCCTAAGTGCCCATCAGTAAATGAGTAGATCAAAAAACTGTTGTACATTTACACAATGGAATACTACACAGCAGAAAGAAAGAAAGAGCTCCTAGCCTTCATGACAGCATGGATGGAACTGGAGAGCATTGTGCTAAGTGAAATAAGCCAGGCAGTGAAAGACAAATACCATATGATCACACCTGTAAGTGGAACCTAATCAACAAAACAAACAAGCAAATAAAATATAACTGGAGACTTTGACATAAAGAACAAAGTGACAGTAACCAGGGCCTAGGAGGGAGGTAGATAACGGGGGAAAAAAGGAGAAGAGTCATCAGTGAACATATATAAAGGACTCATGAACAAAGCCAAAGGTGGGAAGGATTGAGGATGTGATGTGAGGGTGGATGTGCCGGGGGAGAGCGGTGGCGGGAAAATGTAGACAACTGTACTTGAAAAACAATGAAAAATAATAATAATAAAAAAGCTTTAAGAAAAAAAGGAATTGCTACCACGCCTTTTTTTCATTCTTGTTTTTATGAAATATCTTTATCCATCCCTTTCCTTTCAGTTGTGTGTGTCTTTCTTTCTGAAATGAGTCTCCTGTGAACAGCGTATGTAAAGATGTTGTTTTGTCATCCATTCAGCCATCTATCTTTTGATTCGAGCATTTAATCCATTTCCTTTCAAAGTAAATGTTGATAGATAAGCACTTATTGCCATTTTATTATTCATATTTTATCTCTTTTTTTCTGCTAGAAGACCATTTAACATTTCTTGTAATAATGGTTTGGTGGTAATGAACTCCTTTAGCTTTTTTTTGTCTGGGCAGGTTTTTATCTGTCCTTCAATGATAAAGGATAGTATTTCTGGGTAGGATAATCTTGTTTTAGGTTCTTGCTTTTCATCACTTTAAGTATTTCATGCCAACTCCTTCTGGCCTGCAAAGTTTCTGATGAGAAGTCAGCTGACAGTCCTGTGGAGTTCCCTTAAAAGTAACCAACTGCTTTTTTTATTGTTGCTCAGTAAAGGGTATGCATAGAAATTTTTGACTAAGAAAAGGTTATGGAATTATCAGTTGATTTAGTTATTTATGAAATTTCTTGTTATAAGGCTCAATATGTAAAGTGAGCCAAAGTTATTTAAAAATGGATTATACCTAAATTTTTTAAAAACTTGTCTTTCTATAGGCTCTATTCGAATCTATGATTTTGCCAGCAAAACTCCTCTGGTTCATGTGAAATTCAAACAAGGAGGCACTGCCCTTGCTTGGGTTCCCCGACTGGTAAGTTTATTATAATGAACTTCTACCAGATTCTGTTAATAAATACCCTATATCAGTGCTATTTCTGGGAAATACAGATGTTTTCTGTCTCTGGATTTCAGAAAAGAATAAAAATTTTAAGTTAGTTTATTCACTTAGAATGTGATAGAAATCATATTGTGTCCTTCCTATTGTTGTGATTTTGGTCCCGTTTTAACAAAATTCTATTTTTATGCCACCTGCAGATTAGTAGTAGTTCTGTGTTACAAAGAAATTACCCAGCAGAACTTTTGTTTATGTTCTCTATCTGCCTGGCTCTGATTTCATTCATTCTGTTTATATTTCCAGCATGCCTACTAGGTGCTGGGCCTTGTTCTGGATCTGAGACGATAGCAATGAATAAAGACAAAAATATTTATCCTTACGGCACCTTACACTGTAATTGTAGATAGGAGGCAGAGACAGACAATAAACAAATAAGTAAAATAGGTGATGTTAGATAATGATAAGAGCTATGGAAAAAAATTTAGGCAGAGATAGGGAATTGTTCTAGTCATCTATTGCTGTGTAACAAATTACCACAATAATGTAGTGGTATAAAACAGTAAACATTTTGTTTTGCTCCCATACTCTATAGATGGGGAATTCAGAGAGATGACAGCTGGGATGGGTTATGTCTGCTTCATGGTGTCTGGGACCTCAGCTGGGAAGACTTGAATGGCTGTGTCCTAGAATCATCTAAAGGTTTCTGTACTACAGATCTGGCACCTGGGTTAAAGGCTGGACTAAGCTGGGGTGTCAGCAAGAGTGCTCACCTAATAGTCCCTCCATGTGGCTTAGGCTTCATCACAGCATGGTTCCCTCAGCACCGTCACACATTTCTTACACAGTAGCTCAGGGCTCCAAGATCTAGAGTCCCAACAACAAGGCAGAAGCTGCTTGCATTCCCAGCTTTGGGAGTCACATAATGCTACTTGTACCGTATTCCACTGGGTGAAGCAGTCACAAACTCCACCCAGATGGAAGGGAGAGAAACTTAAAGGCCCATCTCTCCATGGGAGGCATGCCAAATAATTTGCAGCTATGTTTTTATTTTTTTAAATATCTTTTTTCTTAAAATCCTCACCTGAGGATATGTTTTTATTGATGTGTGTGTGTGTGTGTGTGTGTGTGTGTGTGTGAGAGAGAGAGAGAGAGAGAGAGAGAGAGAGAGATGGGGGCTGGGGGTGGGAAGTGACATGATCAGATACTTCACACAGCTATGTGAGAGAGAAGCATTGATTGGTTGCTTCCTGTACATGGGAAAATTATATAGGTTTCAGGCATACAATTCTATAATACATCATATCTTTAAATTCTTATTAAAGTCTTTAAAATATAGCCCCAGTTACTGAATTATTTATTCAGATGGTTTCATGATGTTTCCTGTTTTAGCCTTACATCCAAGTAAGGATCATATGGATATTATACTAAAATTGAAATGTCTCTTTCCATATTCCCTGCATTCTAGAAAACTCCACATCATTCTTGACAACTGAGCTTAGGTCAAACATCATCTTCTCTGCATAGCCCTTTTTGACCCACTTTCAAATAGAGCTATGTGTTCCTCCCTCTGTTATATTTTTGTTTGTTTGTTAAGGATTGCTTACGTACTTCATTTACAGCACTTAGCACAACATAGTAAGATGATTTGCTTTATTGTCTTTCCTTTCCACAAGACTGTTTATTCTTCATGGTGACAATCATACCTATTCTTATTTATACTTCCAGTGCTTCTACAGTTACTGGTACATTTGACACTTAGTAAATGGTTGCCGAATTGACAACATTCAACTAGAGATGAATGTAGTACAGTTTTCTTATTTCCAATATTCTTCCCATTGCCTGGCCTCAGGGAAGATCACTGCTCTAAAGAATACCACGCCGTTGCCCTTCTCCTGAATGTGTTTCAAGACAACAGATTTAGTAAATTCTGACATTGCTTGATTTACATTTTCAGCCTAGACTTCTCTAAGCTGCAGACTCTGTCGCCTCTATTTTGAGATCTCCAGTGCACCTCAAATTCAACATGGCCAAGACCAAGTTAATGATTTTCTGCTTGCCCTCAGTCATTCCTCGCTCCAAAACAATGATAGCAGCAACAAACCACACACACACCTGGCTCCCTTCCAGTGTTTCCTGACTCAGTATATGTCTTAGTTGCCCTTAACACCTCCTTCTGCCTCATTCCTCTTACCTAGTCATTACCAAAGGGGCATTATACTCTTACTGAAATATGTCTATATACTTCGTCTCCACTACATCACCTCAGTCCACGCGACCACAGTCACTCTCCTAGAGTATGAGAGCCATCTCTTCAAAGTACTCCTGAAAGTTCTCCCTGCCTCCTAGCTGGCCTTCTCAGATCTATTTTTCACAGAGCAGGGAGGATGACTTTTCTGAAATAGCAAATCTGATCATGTCACTTCCCACCCCCAGCCCTCAACTAAAAACCTTCTGTCTACTACATGTCAGGCACCCATCACAAGCAACTCAAGAGTGAGCATAAACAGTCTCAGGCCCTGGTTTCACAGAATTTATGGTCTAGTGGGAAGGACAAACATGAATTCCCGCTACTCTTGAGATGAAGACTATGCCTAACATGCCACGTAAGGTACTATGTGGCCTGGTGCCTGCTCATCTCCCCCTCCAGCCTCTAGTGGAAGCACTGCGCCCTCCCTCAGTCTGCTCTAGTCAAATTCTAACTTTTTTCCCCTGAGTTACTTCTTTTACCACCCTATGACCTTTGCACAAGCTATATCCTCTCCTACGAGAGCTCCTCCTACCTTCCAGTTTGTTAATTCCTGGCCCTTTTTCTGATCTCAGCTCTGCCATCTATTCCTTAAGGAAGTCCTCAGTCTAGGTCAATTTGCTTTGTTATGTGCTCTCAGACAATATGCTTCTTTCCTTTAGCACTCATTTCAGCTCATGATTCCTCACTCATTTGTGTGATTTATGTCTGTCCTTTGCACTAGACCATAAATTCTCTGAAACCAGGGCCTGAGACTGTTTATGCTCACTCTTGAGTTGCTGGTGATAGCTGCCTGACATGTAGCAGACAGATGTGCCACGAACATTCACTCAAAGAATGTTTGAATTGCTGTTGTTTACCTGTCTCATATTCAGCAGTGACAGGATCTGTTCTAGAACAGCTGGACGTTACCAGGAAGCGGTATAAGAAATTACCAAAGGGCAGCCATTGTTAAGTTACTTAAATCTAAGTAATACAGAGGTATCTGTTAGTATGTAGTATGACTCCTAATCAACTAATTTCAGATTTCTTGTGTTTAATTTTTGTCCAAGGTTAGCTACACTGGATCACAGATTGTTGTAGGATTTGAAGATGGGGTTGTCCGAGTTCTTGAACTTTATGATCCGAAGGGGCTCACAATTTTTGCAGGACGGAAGAAATTCTTAGATGCAGATCTCCATTTGAGACATGTTTTCAAACCCCATACTGCTCAGGTCACTGCTTTAGCCTTTGAACGTGATGGAGAAATTCTAGCCACGGGGGTAAGGAATAACTCTTTTGTTTTCTGTTGACCTTGCTTGGTTAAACTTGGCTTATTAGTTTTCTTACTTAATGATGCCTTGCTTGGTGATAATCATTTCTGAGGACATATCCAAATTTTGCTCTCTTTGTATTCATATTCTTCCTGTGTGGTCTGTGCATGACGTTTTAAAATATTCTTACCAGTTGAGTTCTAATGCTTATTTGAAATTAATAGAAAATTTCAGCTTGGAATCACATGAGATGTTTTATGTATAATCAATATTTTATAGGGTAGCATTCTTATATAGAACTGCCATAAATGAAGAGAATGACTATGTAAATTCTTTGTGCATTAATAGATGAACATTGACATTATGGAATTTTTTTTTCTGAATTAATCTTATGTACAGGTATGGTGACTGTATTCTCAGAACCACATACTGGAATACATGGTTTGTCAAGTGCTTTCCTGGGGAAAATGAAGTAAATATTTTGAAATAAGAATTTTCCCAGAATAATCTGGGATATGTGATCATTGTAGGTATAAGTGTACAGTGGATATACTATAGCTATTACATTCTTCCTTGTACTCTGTTGAATTGATTTCATAATAATACATATTTGGCTAATACTTCTCATTTTCTTAGAGTAAAGATAAAACTGTGTTCTTCTTTGAAGTGGAAAAGGATTATAAACCAATAGGTTATATTACTACTCCTGGACCTGTTTGCCAGTTAATGTGGTCTGGGATATCTCATGTAAGTAATTATTATTTGTCTTCATGCTTAAATCTTAATTACTACATAATGAGGTGATCTGATCGAGAATAGCAAGTGCAGCTATTATCCTTACTCATGGGTCCGGCATTGAGGGACCAGTGTGCTGCCCAGCTTGGCTATTAGTGCACCCTCAGGGGCTTCACGCTCTCCTCACTACCCCCTCTCTCTTCCATACTCTAATCATTGGCCACAGTCCTCTCAGGAAACACTGAGTTATATGAGGCTTTGCTTCAACAGAGGAGCCGTTAGCCAGATACTCAGTATGTCAGAACATGCAGACCTGACAGTCCTTGTGACATTCGGAAGTTCTGTCCCCAGTGTACTTGTCCTCATCTTTATCTTTTTACTTCTCTTCTGCCCCATTCTACCCCCGTTTTCTCTTCTAATCTTCCATTGCCTCTTTCCTAACAACAACTAGAGATTAAGTATTATTACTCTTATTTAATGCCTATAATTCCCCAAAGTTGGAGCCTATTACAGGTCAGTCATCTGATTAGTGATTGACTGTCTAAACCCGGTGCTGTACTAGGTCCCAGGGTAATTATAATACTGATGAACTGCATAAAAGTGATGTCAGGGTTATTGAGGTAACATCTATAATGTTTTAATGTCTTTTAAAGAAAAGAGCTATAAAAATGTAGTAGTATCTAGAAAAATGTCTTTTAAAATTAAGAAAGCTCATTGTTTTTTAAAACTCATTTATGTTGCAATTGCAACTGACATTCAATATTATATTAGTTTCAGGTGTACAACACAGTGATTAGACATTATAAAACTTAGGAAGTGTTCCCCCCAATAAATCTGGTACCCATCTGACACCATACAATAGTTATTACATTATAATTGACTATATTCCCTATGTTGTACTTTACACCCCCATGGCTATTTTGTAATTGCCAATTTGTACTTCTTAATCCCTTCACCTTTTTCATCCACTCTCCTACCCCTCTTCCCTCTGGCAACCCTCAAGATTTTCTCTGTATCTATGAGTATGGTTCTGTTTTGCTTGTTTTTTAGGTTCCACATATGAGTGAGATCATCTGCTATCATCAGTCTTTCCTGTCTGACTTATTTCACTCAGCCTAATACCCTCTAAGTTCATCAGTCTTGTTGCAGATGGCAAAATTTCAGTCTTTTTTATGGGTGAATCATATTCCATTGTATATATGCACCACTTCTTTATTTATTCATTCATCTATTGATGGACATTTAGGTTGCTTCCATATCTTGGATATTGTAAGCAGTGACTATATGGATGCCTATGTCTTTCCTAATTAGTGTTTTGAGTTTCTTCAGATAAATATCCAGAAATGGAATTGCTGGGTCTTCTTTGTCTCTTGTTAGAGCCATTGTTTAAAAGTCCATTTTGACTGTTTTACTGTTGCTACCCTAATTTTTTGCTTCCATTTTCATGAAATATATCTTTCTATCCAGTTACTTTGAGTCTGTGTGTGTCTTTGAGCTTAAGTGAGTCTCTTGTGAACAGCATACGTAAGAGTCTTGTTTTGTTATCTATTCAGCTACCATATGTCTTCTGATTGGAACATTTAATCCATTTGCATTTAAAGTGATTATTGATAGGTATGTACTTGTCATTTTGTTCATATTTTTAATCTTTTCTTCTTCTAGAAGACCTTTAACATTTTTTGTAATATCGCATTGCTGATGATATTACTTTAGGATATTACTGAAGGATACATCCTTTAGCTTTTTCTTGTCTGGGAAGCTCTTTATTTGTCCTTAGATTCTAAATGATAGCTTTTCTGGGTAGAGTAAGCTTTGTTGTAGGTTCTTGCTTTTCATCACTTTGAATATTTCATGCCAATTTCTTCTGGCCTGATGTATGGTACAGATGCTCCAACCAACTGAACCACCCAGCCAAAGCTGTGGGAGGGTTTTTAATAATGGATTGAATTTCTTCAGGAGATACAGGACTGTAAAGTGTTAAAATAACTCCCAACCCCCAATTTTATACATAGTGGTAGTAACTTTCACACTGAAAGTTAAATTGAAAACAAATGTGACTCTTTGCATGAAATGAACAAATCCTGTTCCTGCGCAGCTTAGAGTTGTGTAAATGTTTTAAAGGCAAAGGCCCAACACAATGTCAGTCTCACTTTTTTGCATTTTCCTTTTCTTTGAGATTATGTCCCCTCAGGTCCTAACTTGCTCTATTGTAGCTTTGAACTTCAATTTCTGTCTCCTTATCTGTGAGGGAATGCCTAAAGTCTAGGACACTACATTTTATTTGGCTTCTAGGTCCTAAGCAGTAAGTTGGTAAACACCCTGAGAAGAAAGAGTTGCAGGGAATATCTAGCTCACTTCACTTAGCTTCTTTCTCTCTGGGATCTTGGCTCTTTGAGTTGTGGCTGTAACCAGTTTCTCTCTGATGTTTTAAACTTGTTTACTTTTTTCTTTTTTAGATCTTTATTGTATTTTTTTCCATTACCATTTAATCCCTTTATCCCACCCTCCCTCCGGCAATCATCACACTGTTGTGCATGTCCATGAGTCCTTTTTTTCTTTTTGCTCAGCCCCTCCACCCCCTAACCTTCTCCCCCACAACACAACTGAACTATCTTAGCAAACTTTTCATGTCACTGAGTTTCTTTTGCTAATATTGTATTAGGATTTTAAATCTAGGTTCATAAAAGAGATTGCGCTATTATTTTCTGTCATCATAGTTCTTTATCAGGTTAGTTATTAAGATTATTTTATCTCCTAAGATGAGTTGGAAAATACTCCTTTTTCTATTTTCTTAAAGAGTTTATGTTATATTAGAATTTTGAATTTTTGACAGACTTAGTAGTAGAGCCGTCTGAGGATGGGGTATTTTTTTAGATGATTTTAAAGAAGTGATTCAATGTCGTCAATGAATATAGTGATATTTAGATGTAGTTCTTTTTAATTTTTTTGAAGTATAATTGACATACAAATTATATTAGTTGTATTATATTGTACAGGTGTACAACTAATGATTCGTTATTTGTATACATTGTGATATGATTACCACAATAAGTCTAGTTAACATCTGTCACCACACAGTTAACAATTTTTTTCTTTTGATGAGAAGTGTAAAAATTTACTCTCTTAGCAACTTTCAAATGTGCAGTGTGCTAATATTGACTATAGTCACCATGCTCTACATTACATCCCCCTAACTTATAATCGAAAGTTTGTACATTTTGACTCTTCTTCATCCATTTTGCCCACCTACTGCCTCAGGCAACTACCAATCTGTTTTCCATATCTATGAGCTTGGTTTTATTTTGAGATTCCACATATAAGTGAGAACATGCGGTATTTGTCTTTCTCTGTATGACTTGTTTCACTTAGCATATGCCTTCAAGGTTCGTCTGTGTTTTCACAAATGGAAGATTTTGCTTTTTATCCCTGAATAATATTACATTGTGTGTGTGTGTGTGTGTGTGTGTGTGTGTGTGTGTGTGTGTATGCCCCTTTTTTTTTTTAATCCATTGGTGGACACAGGTTTTTTTTCCATATTTTGGCTATGGTAAATAATACTTCAAATAAGTGTTTTTGTTTTCTGTGGATAAATATCCAGAAGTGGATTGTTGGATTATATGGTAGCTCTCTTTTTAATTTGTGGAATCTTTAACTCATAGTAGCTACACCAATTTATGTTCCCACCAATAACACACAAGGGTTTCCTATTCTCCACATCCTAGCCAGCCATTTGTCTTTTTTATAGTAGCCATTCTGACAGGTTCAAAGTAACAGCTTATTGTGGTTTTGATTTGCATTTCCCTGATGATTAGTGATGTTGAGCATATTTTTATGTATCAACTTTATTTCTTTTGAATTCTTAAATGCATTTTCTGTAATTTCATAATATCTTTAATATCACAAGATCTTTAAAGATGTCCTTTTTTCCCTTTTTATATTGGTTATGTGATCTTTTCCTTCCTCCCTTTCTTTCTTTTTCCCCCCCTCTCTCTTGCTTAATTGAACCTGCGACCTTTCAGTGCACAGCACGACACTCCAACCAACTGAGCAACCCAGCTGGGGCTGTTTTAGGTTTTGTTGTTTGTGGTTATCTTTAGGTTTGTGAAAAAGAAAATTTCATATATACAATAGTCCTTTCTCTTTTAAGTGCATCTAATCTCCATCCTCTTTTACAAATTCAAGGCTTCACCTCCTTCCCTGTTTATGTTTTTGTTGTTACAAATTATACCTCTTTATGCTCTAAATTTGTTGGTGATCTTACTTGTAATTCTGTGACCTTTTGTTCTTTGTTTCAGGTAGAATAACCCCCTTGAGTATTTCCTGCAATGGAGATCTTCTGGTGATAAATTACCTCAGCTTCTGTATGTCTGGAAAAGTCTTTACTTCCTTTTCATATCTAAAGGATAGCTTGGCTAGAGATATTATTCTTGGCTGGTAATTTCTCTCTTTTAGTAGCTTGAATATTTGGTTCCATTCTCTTCTAGCTTGTAGAGTTTCTGCTGAGAAGTTTGATGTTAACCTAATGGGTTTTTCTCTATAGGTTACTTTCTTCTTTTCCTTAGCTGCCTTGAAAATTCTTTCTTTGTCATTAATTTTTGACAGGCTTAATACAATGTGCTTGGAGAAGGCCTCTTTCAACTGAGATAATTAGATATTCTGTTTGCTTCTTGGATTCAAGGATCTAGCTCCTTCCATAGGTTTGAGAAGTTCTCATCCACTATTTGTTTAAATGGGCTCTCTATTCCCTTCTCATTTTCATCTTTTTCTGGTTTGCGTATTATTCTTATATTGCTTTCTGATGGAGTTACGTAGTTCTTGTAGAGTTCTTTCATTTTTTTATGCCCAACTCTCTTCTTTCCTCTGTATCATTTATAGATTTTTATCTTTCATACCACTCATTCTTTCCTCCATCTGTTCAGCTCTACTTTTTATGCTTGCTAGTCCATTCTGGATCTCTTTTTATTGAGTTCTTTATCTCCAGAATTACTGGTCAGTTCTTTTTTAAAGTTTCA